ATTTTTTTGTTATTTTATTTTATATTTTAACGGAATTTCATACACGAATACACAGGCAAGAGTGACACTGGTATAATACAATAATAATGCTGATGATAATAATAATAAACTTCAAAAAGGAAACAATTAAATACCCGCTAGCGGTGCGCAAATGCGTTCCATTTCCCCCCCACTGAGTGCCTCAAATTTTACCGATAGTCACGTGACATGTGCGACAGATACCAGACGGACAGTAAATCACGTTAAGAATTGAAGAAATTTCGGTTATAAACTGATATTAATCAGCAGCTCAGATGTCACTGGGTCATAAAATGTTGTTAGAGTATGCTACCGCAATTTGTGACCCTCTCTGGTGCGATATTTGTGTATTATGCAATTATTTAGCGTGAAACGTAGGGGTCCGAGAGAGAACAGCCGATTTATGACACTTCGTTTGATGCGGGTCGGACTAACTTTGAATCGGCACTTTGAATCACAAATTGCGGTAGCATACTCTAACAACATTTTATGACCCAGTGACATCTGAGCTGCTGATTAATATCAGTTTATAGCCGAAATTTCTTCAATTCTTAACGTGATTTACTGTCCGTCTGGTATCTGTCGCACATGTCACGTGACTATCGGTAAAATTTGAGGCACTCAGTGGGGGGAAATGGAACGCATTTGCGCACCGCTAGCGGGGTATTTAATTGTTTCCTTTTTGAAGTTTATTATTATTATCATCAGCATTATTATTGTATTATACCAGTGTCACTCTGCCTGTGTATTCGTGTATGAAATTCCGTTAAAATATAAAATAAAATAACAAAAAACTGAGCTTCTGACAGTCTTTTAAAGTCCATGGTAGATGTACAAATAAAAAAGGGATATTATATATTTTTCCACCAAATTGATAATGCTTCACATATTTTAATAGAAATAAAATGTATTACTCGATCATTATGATCTGGCCTTCTTGACTTCTATTATCATGAATATCATCTATGCACGGCATAGAGATCCATTTTCTACCGGGATAGACAATAAATTTCAAACTTTGTCCCAGATGTATTAGTACTGTGTCCGATTTACTGGCGAACAATTTATTTTCACTGAGAATATATTTTAATATCTTTTTTTTTATTCATAGAGAAATAATCATCCTTAGACAATCTAAAATGGTTTAGAAATTTGTCAGGGACACCTTACCACAAGTCATGTAGGCGTTCACATAAAAAATATTGTCTGTTTTTGTTGTTGTTTTACTTGACATTGTTAGAAAACGAGGTTGAATGTAAAGTAAGCCCTTGAATCCGTACAAAAGTCTATCAACTCAATGTAATATCTATCAGATTAACGGGACAGACAAATTATTCTCACACATTATGGATATTTTAGCAACTACATTTTTAATCAACCCCGTGGTCGTGCGATTTGCCGCTATGCTTAATTATTTGTTTCATACATTATGTTACGTACATTGGCCGACAATTTCTTAATTTATATAAAAGGCTAAATGTTGAGATATTCATAAAAGATGTACGGTAGTTGTACGATACATGTATTACCAGTAGTATGGACCAGTATGGACCTGTAATTCACGGATATATGGAACTACCGATTTCCCTCATTGATGCCTCAACAGGGGGCGGAGCGTTATCGATAATCGACAGGTTACGCGAATAGCAGATACAAATAGTATAGGTACCGTTTTAAAACGTTTAAAAACACATTTTTTGGACTAACTGCTTCCAAAATTAAATCACGAATGTGTTCAGAAAAGGTTGATAAATCTACTTAGCAAAAAATCTCATTTTAGGTATTTTCAGTGATAATTGACTCCGTTGTCACCTTAAAGAAGCACAAACTGTAAAATTGTATAGGAAAATATTCAATATTTTATCTTAATGTTTTACAATAGATTTTTCGATATTCTTGACTATGATATATTACAAGAGAATTGCTTCAATTGCTTGATTTATGTATGTACATTTATTTATGCATTGTAATTTATGGAACTGCGGTTATTTTAAAGATCGTTCCAATTCAAACGACAGTAATATTAATCAGTAGGATAATTATGTACTTTATTCAAAAGTCATTGCCATTTTGGTACTTTATTTATCAATCAGGGAAGAAATACGTACACAGGAAGCGGGTTCGAGGGAGTACACGTTGGCTTCACTGGCCGAGTAACGCCAGGCTTGATTCAGTTCCCGAATGTTCATCCTTTCCCGAACAATCACGAGGGCGACAGACGTCATCGTGACATGTCGTATGACGAAGCACGTGCTATACAAGATCAAGAAGAGGGCCGAGGTCAGTAGTTTGCCGTTTTAACCGTTTTTAAATACTTCCGTGCCAAGTTTTTAATTCCTCATTGAGGTTTTCACGAATGTTTCTTCCGAATGATAAACTTACCTGTTTGACATTGCTTCTAAGTAAGAATATAATTGCTAAAATGAAATCGGTCGGTTAGAAGTATTTATACTAAACTAAAGTAATAAATAATCGTAGGTAATAGGTGCTGTTTTTCTGTAGGATCAAGGCCATACTCCACCTTTAGATCTCCATTTTCACCGGTGTACTCCAATGCTCCAGCAATGTTTGGTTGGCGAGGACAAGGTCCATCATTCCAGTTTCACAGGGGCTTCGGTGGGTTTGGAGGCTTCCTTCATCATAATGCCTTACATGGTCCACATGACATGCACTATAGACGACCCTTACCACATGTTATAGGTACGGACCTTTTGTGATGTGTCATTTACATTTCGCAATTGCGATAATAATTATAATATTGCTAAAATGATGCTGATAACTATAATTACTGATAATTATGATTAAGATAACTTTGATAGTAATAATGATTTCTAATATTATCCCAATGGTGTTGCTGATTACCTGTATAATGTTAATAATAACATAATATTGATAACACTGACTGTACTTTTATGACAAAACAATAATAATGATGATTCAATAACAATAAACAATATTATTTCTTATTATAATGATTTTAATCTTAATACTGTTGATAATTATAACAATATTTACGACTATAACAGCAATGATAATTATATAACTCTATCTTAACATACAAATTTTCATATCAAGATGATCTTGGTCACCACACATGTATACATGTTTAAACATGTTATACTCATCCAACCGATCCGGCGAAACAATCGCAAGTTTCAAACAATGACTGCGCAAATCAAGCTTAAATAAGTCAATAAATATTTACTTACTTTACTGAACAAAATTGAAAGATTTCTGTCTGTTAATTTTTTCAAATAATTTGAATATTTATGGACAGTTGCACTGTAGCCAAAGGTATTTTAAACTGGTTCGTTGATAACCTTTCCATAGAGCTTCAACTTGACTGGTGTTATTGTATTCCATAACTTGTCGATTACAAGTTTGTTGTTTTTTTTCTACTCAAGCTTAGAATGTATACATGAAATGAGAAATTCTAAAACACCGTTCAATTATTAAGTTCTATTTATATCAAGTTACTATTTGTTTTGTTTATTTATTAAAATTTTATTTATTTATATATTAAAATTTTATTTTTTTCTTTCTTTATTTATTTAGAATATTTCTTTACGATATGTTTTTTTCTTTGATTTCGATAGGTAACGCATATGATAGTCCATTTCCAAGATTTCAACCATCAAAACCACCTCCATTTTCCAGAGGGATAATGTCACACCCACCAATGTTCAGATACGAGCCCGCGCATGCGCCCAGTTACGAGCCCGCGCATGCGCTGTATCCCTATAATTCGATGCATAGACCATTTGTACCTTTTGTGGCGCCACAAAAAGGGTATTATAAATAAACGTTACTAAAATGTCGTAAATACTCAGTGCTACTATTATTTTAATGAATGTTTTGCGTGCGTTGTACCAGATGCAGTCCTGTAATTAAACGTAATTCTAAATATGTCGTTGAAAACTTACCTTTATAACTTGAAAAGATGTCTACATAATAAAAATAGAAAAAAACTGCGTAAATGGTAGACAAGAAAATTATATTACAAAAAAATGTATGTATCTATTGTCTTAAATTCAATGTCATATATTGTAAGGTGATAAAATATATGCTGAAAATATATGCTGTTGTTTAAAGTTGTTTTATTTTTACACCAATAACAATAAAGTAAATGGAGAAAATTGCTTAAAGGCATATTATGCCTCAGAGAGGGCAAACATGTGTTTTATGAAATTGTAATGATGGATTAAATACCTTTGGAATATTTATCACTTGAGGAAAATAGCGTTGAATGTGATTTCTTTTTGTGATAAAGGTAGCAAAATGTAAACAAATTAGTATTTTAACTTCCATTCAATATATTTATGTACAATTACTGTACCATTTGCCAGGGTCTTTAAAATAGAAATATTTTAATTACCCTGCATTTGCCAAAGCGGATGCCTCAGTTATATGGACACTAAATAACGTATTGGAAACTGAAACATGACACTAAAAATAAACATGACTGCATGTTTGAAGCTTAATAAGCCTTTGAATAATGGACGGATATATTCTATGAAAACAATGAATGAATACTAGTATATTATAAGTAAAAGCTTTAAAATGACTCCAATTGCTCGGTGTTAAAGATGTCAAATTTTCGATCCTTGAGGATCATTTGGCATCACGTTTGTGTTGTGGTAGTTTAGTTCCTTCTATTTTATCTTTTTAGTAGTATTCCTACTTGAATACTGTAAAATCCCCTTAAGATATGCTGCATGCTTTTTCATACTGTCTATGATATACCGTCTTTGTAACTTCTGATCCACTTTCAATATTTCATTCTATTTTGTTTTGCCTATGTTTTTTCGTTTAGGGTACTTTCGGTACCATATGCCGCTTTAAATGAAATGGCTTGATCGTTATAGGTGAACGACTGTGTGAAGACATCTGCGGGTGTTTCTTAATTTAATTTTTGCCATATACAAGTACATGTAAAGATCAAGCAGATGCAAGGGAGGGGGCATGGACTATTTCTTGCAATTACAACTTCCGTCAATAAAAAGGCTCAATCGAATCGAGCCTGCGGTATGTTCAATGTATCCTTTTTGGGAAACCTATATATAGACTTTTTTTATTTATTTGGGATAATTACACTTCTTATTTTACCATCAGAAATACCATCAAATCAAAACATGATTTCCTGTAATGGTACATTTCAGTCAAACTCAATTAATATTCATACCATACAAAAAGATAAAAAATAATGGGTAACAATCTCAGTTATTTTTCTGCTCATTTCAAAAGAATATTTTGTAGCTATATATAAGGTCACTTTGATAACGTAAATTACACTATTGCCAGTCACCTAAGCAAGGCCGCAAATGACTTAACATGTCTTTAAATCAAACTTTTCACCACAAATTTAATAAAACCGTCAATTTCTTATAATCATAAATTCACCGCAAATGTCTTTTAATTATATAAATTCACCACAAATTGGTAAGATGTCGATGTCCTTCAAGTTAATAATTTGTTTATTCACCACAAATACAATAAACTTTTTATGGCTTTGTATTACCGGATAAGCTTCCATGTCAAAATATGTTTCTTTACTACACGTATGTTAAGATATATGTTAGATTGTTACCAAACACTTTGATTTTCCGTCTTTAAAAATCCAATGCTTATTTTTGATTCTTTTTACATTTAAATATAGTCTGTCTATTCAAAATGTTATGTTAGTACACATAGAATAGAAATTCTAAGAAATAAAGTATTCTGGTAGTATAAAAAACAAATAAAGTTAACTATATATTCATCAAACAGATGAAGATATATAAACATTTCATTAAATATATCTTAAGAGCATATATGAGCCGCGTCATGACGAAAACGCGGCTCATATATCTTTTTCTATGTACGTAAGTCAAGATATAAATTGAGACTGTAGAATCACGTACTATAATTTTCCTTTTTTCAAATTACAAGGCATATTTAAAAAGGGTAATTTATAAAGTCAAAGAAAAAATAACAAAGTAACAGTATAAATGAATTTTTAAAGAACAACGATATATGCTACAGCATTCTGCCGAGAACTAGAATATATTGGGGAATTGGGACAATCAATAACAAAAATACTGTAATAGTACTTATAACTTAGCAAGACTTTGGTCTTTTACTACGCGCGATCTAAGTTCTATTCCAAGAAGTAAATGTTTTGACCTTGCTTTTCGACATTTTACAAAGCTATAGGTTGATGGTAATGTTCACAATTGTAACTAATTCATTAATCTCAATCTTAGTACACTCTTGGTACATATGCGTATACCTTATTATCATTATGAATTACAATCTCATTGATGAGATGGTTACTTTAAACACCGAAAAATACTTATATTAACTTAAATGAAACCTTTGTGTAATTTTATGAAAAATGGAGTCTGTTCCTGAAAGATAAAATATGCATACAATAATAAGTGAAAACAATAAATGGTTGATTGCACGTCACTGTTGTCAAAGACAAATCAAAAGATTCGCTGCATAAAATTAAGACAATTACCAATTTGACAATTTAATGTGAAGGAATTTAAACGATATTCAAGCAGAATTATTAGTCATAAAAATACAAAACAAAGACTATGCAACGGTAATCAAATAAATTAGGAACTTAAGAGTGGCATACATGCATAATAAGTAAAATCTTTATTCTACTTGTCGTTAACCAAACATGAAAACTGTCATTACATGTGTCACATGTGATACAAGAGTCCGGATGTTGTCCTGGGTACAGAATTTACTCTAACTAGTTCACAGAATGATCAAAAAAATCAGTGAAAGTTTGAATTAAACCTTTAAAAGCAGATATTGTAATGTTACAAAACATATATACTTTGCACTCTATTTCATTGTTGTATCATAGTTTGGGGACCTTTCTGTTGAAAATGTGTCAGAGTTAAATCGTATACATATACATGCACAGTGCGTGAACTGGGGTGCAGGTATTAGTTACCCGCACTCCAGAGCATGCCAATTGATCGGCTCATTTTTGCTAGGGTTTACAAATTGTGACGACAGAGAAAGGGAAAGCGACAGAAATATCATATTCAGATGTTCGTTCATTGGTTCCTTTTTGCCGGAGTTTCATATTGTGACAACAGGGAACGTGTTTTTATGTTTGACTATGATACAAAAGAGAAAGAACATCAAAACACTCTGCAATCTGATTAATACTCGGGGGCTATGCCCTTCGTACAAATCAGATAGCCTCGTGTTTCGATGCTCTTTCTATTACATAACATTTATTATTAGAAACTATTAAAAAAAGATCAGTAAACGTTTACTAAATTAGATTTTTTTTCTTTGTTTGTTTTGTTTTTCTTTTGTTTTGTTAAGTTATTAACTTTTTTAATTTTTTTGTTGTTGTTTTGACCTTAGGGAAGGTTCTCGATGCTAGCGTAAATGCTTAATAAAATTGTAAGATATAAACCCCTAACAAAATTATGATAATTTTCAATTGCACTCAAGGATGTTTGAAATTGTATGAAATAAATATTAATTGAGGTTAAATGACAATATTGTCCTAAGCTAATTTTAATGGTCGGTTCTTCCTTTTAAGCACAACATGCCTATTAACACCTAATGATATGTATTTGTCTGTCTATATAAGATACTATGTTTTTTACATAATATAATCAGTAACATTATACCAAACTATACGTAAATTTATAAATTGCTCCATATATACCTCAGAACGTTTTGTTGTTTACTTAATTAGTTCCTTTGTCTTTTATTTAATATAATCAGTACAGTAGCATAATCTTTACAGACTTATTCAGTTGCATCAAACGCCTTAGTTACCTTATTGTGGGTTTTCTTTGCGGTTTCCCACTAGATAATTGATAAAAATATGACAGAACCTTCGCTGTTGTACAATAAAGTAATTAATGTCCTTGCAACAGTTTCCAGGGTTTTTGATTGGTGAAAACAAAACGTGACTCAACAAAACACCCAGTGAATCTTTTATGTACTTTGAGAGAATTAGAATAGAATCTGCATATAAAATATATGCAAAAATATAAAACAATAAATGTGTCAATATTGTTTACTATTACCATCACGATTAAATGTCAGTAGTCTTATTAAAGAATAATATAAGGCATACAGAAGTGTGTCATTAAATGCATTGATTAATGCTTTTTAAGTGCAGTGTCAAAGCAATTTTTGTAACAAGACGAATTGCGAGCTATATGAAAGTACAAGTTGGCATTATTTTTGACAGGTGAAGTTGACCTTGTTTTAATAAGTGTTATATTGCCGCTTGCACGGCTATATAAACCGAACCTACGCAACAAACGCAGAAACATCCCTCTCATCTCTTCCAGACTGTGCATCGTTGAAAATTGTCTACTTTCTGTAGATAAGTTCTTAGTTTTGTTGAAAGGGATATTATACTGATTTGAAAGTATTTATTTTGTTCTAAAGAATAAGGTATGAAAATGTCTTTTGCTGTTTTTGTAACAGCATTTGTGTTTTCATTAATCTTTGGCCAAGGACAATGCCATATACCAGCGGGTAACGCGAACTATACGAGTGTCACAGAGGTTTGCCTGAAAGTGCCGTATTCTGTTGACCAGTGTTACAAGGAAGCGCTCGTAAGTCACACGTTTTCATTACATAATTTTTAAATTCTTTAGATTTTAGGCAATTTCATTATCTAATTTTTTGCTACTTATTTGCTTAAAAAAATCAATAGCTATCATTCATTGTTGGAGTAACATCTCTTAAAAGTGCCTCGCAAATCTGTATAATTTTAGAAGTTTTCTTTTTCATTTGGAATGCGATTGATTTCTGCGATTGATTTCTATACGTTCAAATGTTGTGTTTAAACAGTATTGAAAGTTGTAAGGACCGTTATATACAAAAAAAAAAGAAAAAAAGTTATACTTCTTATAAGAGAGGGAAACCGAGAGTGCAAAGTAGACATAAATGATATATATCCGATAAATTCAGCTGATAATGCTTGATGTACTAGTACATTTATATAAACAAAAGTGTATTACTTTTCCCGTACACATTTAATTGAATTAATTCAAAAACCCAAAGTCAACAATTGTCACTTTTGTTTTTGAACCAATCACTGTAATCTATGTTTCTGATTTTTACATTATTTATCAAAGTACACACGAAATGAGTCGCGTCATGACAAAACCAACATAATGGGTTTGCGACCAGCATGGATCCAGACAAGCCTGCGCATCCGCGCAATCTGGTCAGGATCCATGCTGTTCGCTATCAGTTTCTCTATTTGTTATAGAGTTTGTAAGCGAACAGCATGGATCCATGCTGGTCGCAAACCCATTATGTTGGTTTTGTCATGGCATGGCTCAAATAGATTTTGATTTCTGCGTAAGAAGATCTCGGCGTCTGTATATAAATATATGAATTTACTTTTTACTAACAATTATTTAATTATCTTTAGGGATTATATGTCATACACGTGTGCTCTTATAAAAATTGAATCATGTTTCACGTCATATTTTTGCAGAACCAACCGATTTCACCAAGAGCCGCAAAGATCGACTGCCTTCAACGATTGTTATGGCTACACGAATCAGAAGCGAACCTTACTCCAGCAGATCTTAAATATTTTTCTACACTCTCCCAAACTAACTGGAAGTTGGGACATCCGTATCCAAAAACTGGTTTCCGAAAGAGGCAAGAGTACAGAACATTGACAGATAATCAGCGTATGAGATTACATATGGCTTTCAATAAACTTTACCAGGTAAATATTTTTTGTTTCAAAATAACTGAACTTTGTGTTTGCTGATCTGAATTATATTTTATGTAGTTCCTAAACATGAACCACCAATTGTTATATCGATGACTAAGTTCGAAGATTTGTAGAAATGGCGACAAATTTTTTTCACATAATTAAAATATTTAAGAGAGATCTGCAGTGATGATTTCGCTTTGTAGATAGTTAAGTTTTGATAATATACTAAAGCACAAACGTTTAGATCTTACATACTTTAATAAACACCACCAACTAAGTAAACTATCAGACTAATATTATGATAAAGTTAATCAAAATGGAATTGCACATCGCAAATATTGTTACATTCTTTATTTCAGAAAGGTATTATAAGAAAATATGGCTTACTTCATAGAACAGCTGTACGCCTGCATCACGACGGTGCTTCATTCCTTGCTTGGCATAGAGCCTTTCTAGCAATGTAAGTATATTTTCTGATGAAATCATCAAGTAAATGAGTTGTAAAAATATTCTAAATAGATGTAAACTTTAATTTGTATGGCACACAATGGTGTTTATTTATTTATTTATCTATTTATTTTTAATTTGATAAGGTTTCCTTTGATGTATTGTTTCAATGATAAATGTCAGTATAAAAAATAATAAAATCAGTCAGTTTCATACACTCATCCGAACTTACAAAGTCATAAATAAATAGTATACATTTGTACATTAAAATGACGTCATTGTCCGTTGTCTTTAGAAAGGTTTATATTATGAAAACAATTAGGGATACATGTTGGAAGCATATATTACTTAATATACTTAGGATAAAAGATTGATAACGTTTCTATTTCAGGTTTGAAGACGAACTCCGACTTGAAGACAATACTGTTTCCTTACCATACTGGGACATAGAACTTGACCATAATATGGATAACCCTGTTAACTCCATTCTTTGCTCGAGCGAGTTGCTAGGCAACTGCTATGGTGACGTTGTTACCGGTCCTTTTAAAAATTGGTACACAAGTCGGGGTAAACTTTGGAGAGAATACGGTAGTCATCCAAGAGGGAGACTATTTGGCCATGCTTCTATAAAGAGGATACTTTTCAGATGTCACAACGAGGTACGTTTAAAACAGTTGTGCTTTAGCAATTTTCAAAGTAAAGTTTTTTATATAATGTACATGTATGCTATATGTATTCATAATACTCTTCAAAATTGGCAACAAAGGAGACACATTAAGTCGTATTATTTTATTTTCAAATCAGTATAATTTAAGCGAAATTGCAAATTTTAAAGCGTTATCTGGCATAGCAAATATTAAAAAAGCTGGGTTAAGATAAAATCCCATTTTTGTTTTGTTTCAGGAGGTTTCTTTCCCTGTTAAAATGCCTGGGAATGAAGAACAAATGGAATTTGTTTACGAGTATATACATAATGGTTGTCATAACTGGATGGGAGGGGATATGGCTGATGTTGATACTGCCGCCTTTGATCCTATCTTCTACATGTTGCATGCATTTATAGACCTCCTATGGGAGGATTTCCGTAAACGTCAGACAGTTGTATGTGGAGTAGATCCGGAGAAAGATTACCCTGTACTAACAGGCGGTCCAAGCCATGGTCCGAGTGCACCTATGTATGGCTTTGATGGGTTACAGAATATCGATGGATTGAGGAACTACTGGACAGATACCTGGTATGCTTATGAGAGTAGACCACAATGTCCCAACTGCAACTCAAAATATCTGTACTGCGATCATAAGCGAAATAAATGCGTCAGTCATTCACGTAGAACTGACTACAACCCGGGACAGTACTATAACAAACACGGAGTTGTCGCTGAACCATTCGAGCCTCCAATCAGCTATATTCCAAAACGCACTTCGAATAATTTTGAACCTGCTCCGTTATCTGACGGGAGATCGAGAGCTTCGGCTGAACGTGATGCCAGAATGGCAATGGCTGCTGGGAATTTTGGAGGGAGCGCATATACAATTAACAACCATGTGCGAAGAGATTCTTTACCTGCAAGCAGCATGCCTTATTCACTAAATGCACACCCACAATATAATGTAAATAATAATCCCAATCTAGCTCAAGTCTTTGGCAGCAGTGATCTTTCACATAGAATCACCAAGTACAATTACATAAATAACCCTAAACTATTACCACAAAGACCTCCTCATAGGAAATTCATTTCATTAATTTGATGATCATTATAATTTTCCAATGGAAACTGTTCGTTTACACGTGGCGTATGTTTGTTATACCTTGGTTATATTGTATCTGTGTATATTAAAATCCGTGTCTTATTGTATATTTTATTAAAATATAATTTATTACTATGCATGATTTTGTTGTTCGTTTAATCGTCAAGTGTACATTCATTTTTAATAAAACATTTAACATGATTTATATTTTGTCTATTTTTATTTAATAATATGTTTTTCTTCGGTTTGGATTAATAGTGAATCTTTTTTTTGTAATGTCATTTTTAAAGAAGTACATAATCTGGTCAGTGCTAATAAATCTATTTTCTAACAAACAATTCTCTAAATTACGTATAGATACACCTCGTCCCTGAAAACAAAATCGAATAGTAGGATGACATAGGTAAAACAGACAAAATGCGAATGAAAAATATCCTTTGAAAAGAGGGCTAAGAAGGCCAAAATTTCTCCCTATTTAATCGCACTTTCAATAATATCCAATTCATTAACTTCGGCTCTAATTATTATGTTTTACCAATTATACTTTTGCTAAATGTACTCCACTCTTGACGAAGGCTGACTTTAATCCGACAGCTGACTTTAAGAACGTATCAACAATAACACGTGGCCGAGTGGTTAAAGTCGATGGCCCCTCGTCGCTGTGGGTTCCAATCCTGACAGGGACTTTAACTTCTTTCATGTGATAAAGCTATCCAGCTAGCTTACGGAACGACGGAGGTTCTACTCAGGTGCCTGTTCATTCCTGAAATAATGCACGGAAGGGCACTTAAGATCTTCCTTCACCAGTAAAGCTGGAACGTCGCCATATGACCTATACTGTGTCGGTGCGACAGAAAATCACCCCACTTAGTATTTTTCAGGTATTTTTTGTAAGTTTACAAGCTAGAAAGCTTTTCCGTCATGGTTGGTTGATACGCACTTTTTTGGATGATTCACTCTTTATGACTACGGGCGAATTGATCATTTCTTTTAAGTAATCGAACAAATTGGTTGATCTTTACCTTTTCTACCATGTTTTTGGTTGTGGTTGAACGGTCTTTTATGTAAAGGCTCTGAAAATTTCTCAGTTAGCTCAGTTTTGGCCAAACTACGTTTGTTTATCAAAAGACTTGTAAGTACAATGCAACTCATTAATTGATAATTTCAACATAATTTAGAGTTAAATATCCTTGAGCTTCGGATCCTAGACGTAGAAAAGTAATCAATTTCAAGTTTCATTTGAATATAATTACAGCAAGATTTTGATGTTATTCAATGTTGACCTTTTAAATCGTTACGAGTAACCGGCGCGCTATATTTATTGTTATTGTGCTTGAATAAACGTTATCTGTTTAAACATACAGTCTCTTAGTTGTCATTGGTATACTTAGATCCAATTTAAGGAACCTTACAGACCACTCTGACTTGTGAGACTTTTAACCCTAATGTACGGTCAAAACAAAAATACTGAGGCGTACTAACTAGAATTAAAGATGTATCTGTTTTTAAAGGAACCTGTCGAGTCTCGGTAAATGAACTCAATTTCTAACACCAACATCTACGCAGTCAGTAATTATTGTTATGTTTTGATTAATATACAAAAATATATGAAAATTATACACATAATATCAATTAAACACTTCAATAATCATATTATATATTAGTCATATATTAAACATCATAAACTTAGGGTACCTGATAATTTCTGATATTATTCTGGTTTATTTGGATAAAATTTAAAACTCAGATCTTTTGTAAAATTCAGTAAAATTCAGTAAGTTCTTACGTAAAATAAACTAGAAAATGTAATGAGATCTGAATGCAGTATAAAATATTTTGTGGAAGGAAGATTTGTTAAACAAAACTTAAATATCTGAGCAATTTAACTAGAAAGTTAAAGAACTATCTTATACATTTTATTTTAGAACTATCCTTCACATTTTTCTTTAGTAGCAAAAATTATCCTGACAAGAACTATCCTTTACATTTTATTTTAGATTGGCAAATGAGATTCCAAGATTTTATTTGTGATTTCAAAATGACCAGTGAAAACTCTTCTTATATTCAGTTCTTCCCTGCAAATTTTACAGGAAGTCAAAATTATTTTAGACCGGCCTTCGGCCGAAAAAAAGAAAATTCGGTATGTATTTTGTGGTAATGTTGGAAATACAGCATCCTCTCTGAGAAAACTGATAAAATCACGAGTTATACAGTGATGATTAATGATTCGTTCAATGAACCAATTGTATTAAATATACATAAATATCAATTCCTTATAAACAATTTAAGACAAACCACAATTGTTTCATTGAACATTTAACTTTCCGGCAATGATTCGCTTAAAGAAACAATTGTATGAATTATGCATAGATAAATACACATAAAAACACAATTTGAAATGTAAAAATCAAATCCTGTGAATCTGAATTTATCATGTAGATGGATCATTTATAGATAAAATATTGTTTAGACGTTCAGACTAATATGTTATTCGGTGTTACTAAAGTCAAAAGTAGAAATAAAAATACTATCAACGGTGAGTGAACTCCCGCTGAATATCAAGTCATTGTTTAAGTTAACGAGTACTTTATTAATTATAACAATAATTATTATAGTCATCGTATAACATATGCCAATTGTATGTCAAATTTATTCATGCAATGACATTTTGAATTCAAAGTGAAGTGATGCTGGAAGAAATCAATCGGCAACGACTATCAAAGTTTAATGCTTTAATTTTAATACACGTTATAAAAACAATGTACTTTTTATGAGTTACCTTTGCTCCCATTTCCATGCCATGTATGTCATACGAAATGTAACATTAAAGAAGTACGTCACATCTTTTGTTAATATTCATAACTAGGGATAGGCTAGCTGTTTTTTTGTTTTTGTTTTTTATTTTTACATGTCCCTTTATTATTTCCGAAAAGTGAATTTATCTACAATGGGTACATTATCCACAAGTATTTCAAATATAATAGAAGCAATAGAAATATAAAATTTGGATATTTTTAAAGAATGTTTCTTGAAAAAGCAAAAGATAACAAAGGAATTAAAGGATAAGAAAGAAATATGCTAAGATTTCAATTAAATATCATTTTTGTGTGATTCTTATGTCGATTTTGCAACGTTTTTCATATTTTCCCGTCAATTTGCACAATAAAAATGATTATTGGTCCGGAACAAAATCAAATGATGCACTGTAACACCGCAAAACGTCCGTACCGCAAAACGTACGTTTATGGACGTTTTGCGGCGTATATCGTCCACATTTTTGTGACGTACATTTTGCGGCAAAAAGGCATGGTCCTGCCGCATAACGTCCATATTTTAAAGTTGATATAATTTTCGTTAATTTTGACCAGTTATTATCAGGTGTTATTGTGTGTAAATTTAAGCTCACCTGAGTATGCGTCTGTCTGTCTGTCCGTCAAAATTTAGCTTGAGCTCTTGCTTAATTATGACTAGGCGACTTAAAGGCCCCATCTCCGTGACAATATAGCTCTCTCGCTCAAATATGACTACGCTGTCAAAAGCCCCCATCCATCCCCCGTAAAAATGAACGGTAGAACCAAACCTCCATAGTCAACAAGAACACAAAAAATCATTTCCACATCTTGATGCAATTATATGAAAAGGTATTGTCAAAAGCAAAGCTTAATTTTAATAGTTTTGTCATTCACTCAGTCAAATCCCCGGTTCGTCCGTCCGTGTAGCCGTCCTTTTCTGTATGTATATAAGATTACATTTATTTCAATATCATCGTTTTTATATCTCTGCTGCTCCTGCTTGGTTCCATTCCATAAAAAAATCTATTCAAAAACACCATCGGCTTAAGCATATTTCATTTTTTTTAAATAAAAAAAAAGTAAGAATTATATAGGATCACAAAAATATTGCACTTTAATGTTTATTTTGTAATATCTTTACCTGAAACAATATGAAAGTGACAGAACCAATAAAAGTAACGTTTATAATGAATATATTTTAATACAGAAAATATGGACGATATGCGACGCAAAGGCACACTCTCGCCGCAAAACGTACCAAGTACGATATGCAACGCAAAACGTCCACATGTGTACGATATGCGCCGCAAAACGTCCACACGCGTACGATTTGCGGTACGGACGTTTTGCGGTGTTACAATGCACACATCTCGGAAAATATTTCAAATACCTTCATGTCAAACAAAAATCAGTGGAGTCCATTTAAACAACGGCATTATAGTCTGTAAAATTGATTGGTTTAATTAACATTTTATTTGTCTAATAGAAAATCATTATCCAAAAATATACTGAATTTCTTCAATTTACTTGCCAAACATCCATTTTTGGGACTCTCCAATGACAAGCTAAAAGTTTAAAGTAAGGCACCCAGTAGTATAAGAGCCTGGTCAATCTTCACGGATATGCAGGCTGGTCTGGCTCTTTACTGATGGCAAAAGCTAAAAAAAAACTTTCGGTTTCGGTTGTGTAAGAGTTAATCATTTCTGCTTAATGAATCAGATAATAAAGAGAATCGTCCAAGTGCACTTAGAACAAGCATGTTCCTCCGTCTACTACTTAAAGAACGCTGTCTCTCAGTGACGTATGCTTTTGCGTCCTGTCTAGCAGACGCCATTGTTCTCCCGTCGTTTAAAGGTGATGGAAATATAGAAATTTCAACTCTACGTGGAACATATTCAGTTTCTGGTTCAAAAGAATCACTGGTCAGAATAACGGTTGTAAGAATGTTGTAATCAGTCCTTCTAGAATGAGATACGCAGAGTTGTTTGTAGGAATCACACCAAAAGAACTCCGAGTTACAGTTTTGACAATTTTGGGCTAGTGTATAATTATACCAAAACTGTGTCCAATTGTTTGAATATCCATCAATGTAAGACAAATCCGAAAACCCGATCATTTTGACAGAAGAGTCTTTACCTTGGCTGGTAGTATTGTTAGGATAATCAAGTGAGGGATTAATATTACAGCTGACTTGCTGTTTCTTCCGGAAAACTTCCCATACAAAGTCTGTAAATGCAGACACAAAGTAGAATACTGGGTCATATGCCACCGTTGTGGCATCAGCCGAAGACCCTCCAAGCCAATTTAAAACCCCATTATGATGATATTCCAGCACAAAATTTTCGTCATCTTCTGATTTTACAGGATAATTTATGTCCTGGAATATAAAAATATATGGTATACCTTTAAAGCTACAAATGAGCCAAAATATTTCAAGAAGTTCAATATTTAGAAAAATGTATTACATTTTTAAGAAAAGTAAAACAATTTAATAATTTATAAATTATTTATATGTAATATGCGATTATTGACTGATTTTGGACTATCAATAATCATAATTCTACTGCGTTACTAACGCAGTAAGAGGTATTTATGTATATTTTGACCTCTTTTTTTTTTGTTAGTTTACGTTGATTGAAAGTGCCGTTTGCAATATGTTAATTACTTTCTTTGTTCACTTCACAATATTTTACTTTTAAATACATTTTCAAAATTTTCATGAAAACTAGCATGCTGCTTTAAATTAAACAATGTAAAAAGACCAGTCAGCTCTCTGTTTCCTATTAGTCGAATGGACGAGATGTTTTATATTACACATTTTTGTTTTCCAAAAGGTATTTGATCTAACGACAAACTGTCAAAATAGAAAAAGAAATTCATTGGTGTTATTTGATCTTGACCAAGTTTATTTTTCTTGTACAAGGATAAATTCAGTGTCACAATAAACTTGCACATTGCGGTACAGATTTAATAAAAAGATTATAAATGTTCGTTCGGTTGATTTATTTCATGATGACATCAGTCAACAGTGAAAGACAGTTAATGACTTAAAGTATTTATATATACATTCATACAGGGAAGTTTATTATTTCTTTGTCTGATTTACATCAACTTATTCTGTGTGACATTTTAAGTCTTTTCTGTGCCATGTTTAATTAATTATCACACTATGATGTGGTTTATGGGGAGGTTGAACGCTTTATGACTTATTTTTTGGTAATATATTTTTAAATGATTGATTATAGAAAATAAATATTCATTTTATGCTAGCTTTAATATTTTGCCACCTGAAACCTATTATGGTTAGGCCGTATGTCTTTATATTATTTTAGGTGTCGTGTGACATTGATTAACAATGTTTCTGATGTTTGTCAATACATTATTTCAGATACATTTTGTATGTGTGAACATCTCGGTAGGTCCCTCCTCACCGCCGCGGGTAATTGTCGGTCTTGAATTAGGATACTCTCGTCTAAGTTTTATAAGAAGAAGAAGAAATAGAAGTAGACAAATATGAAGAAAAAATTTAAAGTCATTAAGTTAAACTAAAAATTGCAAATAATTAATTTTAAGAAGAAATAAAAAAAAACCATAAAGATGTTAGTGATCAATTTATATACATGTAAAAGTCATTTATAACGTACCTGCGATTTACACTTTGAAACAATGTTTCTAATTACATCGCGATCCATTAATTTTCCATAATTACTTTCGCCATACCGTCGTTGGAGTGGCCCTTTTGGTGTCCGCCAATCACGAAAATCTCCGAGCTTAACTCGGCCATTTCCGTTACCAAAGTACTTGCTGGACCATAATAAAGAATTAATCGGGTTGTCCATTTGGGCGTCTATTGTAAAGTCCCAATATGGTAAACTAACTTCAGAATCCACTCTACGAAGCTCTTCCTCGAAACTGAAAAAAAAACACAAAAAAAACGTTGAATTATCACTTTCTCCCTGGCGAATTACTCAGTGAGTATCAATCATTTTACCATATTTCTATAAATAGAGGCAAGTTATACCAATAAAAGATGTATATACATTTTATCATGACTGATGCATTTACTTGCATGACTAACATTTGTATGGATTATTTCTGACTGGCATTTCACTGACCAGTTGATGATTTAATGCGAATTTTACCCGTTAACTTGTTCGCCGGTCACCCTAGAAATTATGCTGTGAAAAATGTATACATACGCTAACAGAAATATTCGTTGAAAGCCGAGGAACTTTGGACTATTCCGGACAGAGGTATACACATATCCATACAGTTTGCCATACCGATGTATAGTACCCTCCTGAAACGCAAAATTAAAATATTACAGACATTTATAATAATTTTCACAAGTGATACCCAAACTTTCTGTGTAAAACTAGTGCAGATTTGTGGAAGCACTTTCTTGGTAAATGTTTAATGCAGTAGAAATATCTTCTTTGTTAACATCTGTCCAAAACAATGGTATTACATATTTATGATAAGGCAGTGTATATTTTAGAGGAGAATTGATAACATTTTGAAATTAATCCTTAATCTCCTAAATTGTGTAATGAATTTGTCCTAATTTAAATTCAGAACTAAACATCTTATTATCAAAAGCACAAAAAGCCACAGACAGAACAAAGTATCTGTACTTTCAAGAATAGTTGTGGCTGAGGGGTTGCCTTTAAGGGTTGATGCATCAGAATTGCAGCCACCGTTTATAACAGCGTGATCGTCAGCGGCGACTAAATGGGTTCGAATTACAGGAGTCTATGCATCTCTTAGCTCGGAAAGGTGAGGTGGATTTGACCGCTGTTGCTGCTTTAAGTTTATAATATCCAACTTGCCAAAATCACCTTTCCTGTTTCGAGGCCATATGACCTAAATTTTGTTGTTGCATAAATAAAAGATTTATACGTACATCATATAAAATTTGCAGTGCCCTATGTAGTTTCTCACGCTGAAGATCATTCAGTTGTCGGTATTCTCGCCGTTGCCGGAAATCAGTAGAAACATTCGATGAGTTGCCTAGCAACCGACGAGATATATTTCTAAAGTAATCAGCGTTTAAAGCAGATATGTTTTGGTCACTGGAATAGTTCCAGAGAAGTTGCTGTAGACATGATTGTGTCACTGAATTCTGGGGCACTGGGTGATACTGAAATATATCAACAATCAATCATTATTTATTTTCATATTTTAAAATGCATTAAGCCTCTTCAAAATAATGTAAAGTATTAATTTTTGAAGGCAAAACTGTCTGTGCTATACACAAAATAAATTTAAGATATAGTCTGTAAAAATACGTACTGAAACATACAGAAAACACACACGTACGCATGCACGCACGCACGCATTGTTCATAACTGAAGGAACTTATATATGAGAAAAAATTATTCTCGGGTCTTACAAATGTGGTCTTCATGCCGTACCATTTTGTAATAAGCTATTTTATACAATTATAAAATATTTTACAACTGACAAATGAAATATTCTCAGAACATCTTTAGTATTTTCCTAAATTTGTTGTTTTCTACTTTAGTTTCGTTCTACAGGACTGAAAGAGATTGTCCTACAAAGAATATATACTGAAATGAAAAGTTTTGATATATTGTTTTCCTGTATCCCTTGGAAAGTATCTTCTCGATCCTTACAAGGGTATTGTTATGAGCCATTTCATATGTATTGTTTTATATTTTAGCCAGTTTTCAGTATTATTTCAATATGATTTTTGAACATTACCTATAGCTGAGTACGTGTGCACTCTGAGTATCACAATTAAAAATGTGGAAGCGCTCACGAAACCCTAAATTGTGTATATTATTGTTTAATCACATACATATCTATCATTCATTTACTTATCTTCTTGTTTGTATTGCTGTTTTCGTAATGAAAGCGTCATTTAAACACCAGTTACAACAATAAAGTGATTTTTCACTTTACCCTAATTTGCATGTTTTTCACGTTGTTTTATCCTTTATTGAAAGTAAAATGCAACTCATAGTAATAAATTATAAAGCTACAGATTGTCCTGAAGGTAAAGCTAATAAAAGTGTGAAAATATCCTTCATCGTACGACATGCTTTACAGTCACGATCAAATACATTCTTAAATTCTTTTACACCAGAAGTGTGTGACTCCACACCATAAACTATAAAATTGAAAATCTCATTCATTGTCATACATTAAATGAGCCGCGTCACGACAAAACCAACATAGTGCGTTTGCGACCAGCATGGATCCAGACCAGCCTGCGCATCCGCGCAGTCTGATCAGGATCCATGCTGTTCGCTATCAGTTTCTCTACTTGTAATAGAGTTGGTAAGCGAACAGCATGGATGCTGATCAGACTGCGCGGATGCGCAGGCTGGTCTGCATCCATGCTGGTCGCAAACGCACTATGTTGGTTTTGTCGTGACGCGGCTCAAATATAGTCCTCAAACCACCTACGGCAAATTTGTGATGGATATGCCTCGAAATGATTTTATATTCTATTGTGTTTTAGATCTCTAATTTAATATATATTTTATCTTATTATGGACTCATCAATGCTTACTTAACGGCTAATTATTAGTGATTTAGTATTTTGAATGAAAGTCAAAATAATCAAAATAATAATTAGTTTATATTTTGCTTCTATTTTACATTCAGTGCTTCTATCCTCATCTGCATTTTGTAAAATATTGAAAGATTATAAAGCTCATTGTTCTTCGTAGGAGTTATAAACTCCTACAGAATAAAAAAAAATATTCATGTTTGATGTATTATGTTCCTTTCAAAAAATACCCAAATAATATATATAAAATCTGTTACAGTACATTAAATTACTGAATCATAAGAGACTTCTGCTTAAAAATCATATACATGTATGTAGATATCAAATAGGTAATACGTGTACAACATACAGGTAAAGAAGAAACTTAACAATCTGCCAGTTATGTGACCCGTGGACCGGTCAAAACAATGTGGTCTGTGCTGATATCTGTATTTTTCACATAATTAAATGTTTGCTACGACTCTATACTGTAACATAACATAACATAACATAACATAACATAACATAACATAACATAACATAACATAACATAACATAACATAACATAACATAACATAACATAACATAACATAACATAACATAACATAACATAATCTTGATTTGGCATGAGGATACATATAGCCCAATATACTTTCATGTATGTACTTTTTTGTATGTACACTACGTATTTGGAGCAAAGTACGAGTCTCCTTTGCAAATTCATTCCAAAATAGTATAAAAAAAATAAAAATAGGAACATGAAATAAAATATTGTCAGAGATATTAATAGATATGTTTTCATAAAGTTAAAAAGTCTTATGTAGGAGTAATAAAGTCCTACGTAGTACTTATAAACTCCTAATTAAGCTTTTATCTCCTACGTAGGAGTTATCATTTTTAAAGAACATTTATAAATTGGCACCAGGACGCTTCCGTATTTTTAAAACCAATTTGTTGCGTGTTTCTCCAGATAGACTTTTTCAACGCTAATAAATTCTACACGATATCTTATGGGAATTTTCTAGAAATTCTACATAATTGTATGAAATTTTTTATTCATATAAATTCTAATTTTCTATACACGATTGTATGGAATTTCTACACGATTGCTTGGAGTTGTCTACAATATTAATTCTACACGATTTTATTTTAAAAAAATCCGTATCATATTATATTATGAATGCTGATATTTTCAAAGTCTTTAATTTAGTTATAAGATCATTTTCCTTTCTAAAGACATTAGTCAAAATATAAAATGAAAAAAGTATATGGTTGTTATTTTGAAACATCAGGGTCTATCAAATATTTGAAAGACACTGGAAGCATAAATAATATCTTAATGCAAGTTAGAAACTCTGGCCAAGCAAATTCAATATAAATATGTACTATTCTGTTATAGCCAAAAATCTACATGATATTTAATTAATGTCTTTTAAGATTCCATACACATTACACCGGTTTCTTTTGGTGGAACAGATCTGTGAAAATGGTATCTATGCATTGCAAGCATTTCTTTAAGAAGAAAAAAGTAATGTTAAAGACAAAGATCATTTGTCTATTAAAGAGTTATACACATAAACCTTACTGCATAATCATATGATGTAGATATGTTTTTAAGTTTTGTGTAAATATAGACCTCTCAAGAAATAAGAAAATAAAGGTTAAGAATAGCAATTCTTTAAGGAAAATTGTAATTAAAAGAATAATTCTGAAAAAAGTTTTGATGGAATCGATACTAATTTGAATTTGGAAGATTCCATTAAAGTTTTAGGGAGTTTCATATAAAAGTACAAAACTTGGCATGCGCGCAGACTTATCACTTCCGGTTAATTACTAGAATTCTTTGTGTTTACAAAATAGATTTTCCTTAGCGTTCACCTATTTTGTTATATTTTTGTATTTTATGACAAAAAAAAACAAATACAAATACCTCAGATGACATCAAACAGTCAGTGGTTTCGTCAGGAACTCGCAAACAGATATCCGTTTGGCTAGTTTCACCTAGCAAACCAAATAATAGTACAAAGAGAAAAATCTTCTGTGTCTGTTTGTAGCCTAAAAGTAAAAAAACAACAACAACAAAAAATGCATTTAAAAATAAATACTATAGCAACATTTGCAAAATTTTGTAAAATTAAGCAAATGAGAAACCATCATCGAACGAACTTTGCCGCATTCATTTGGGGTGTCTAACCTAACTGTAACCCTGACGGAATTGTCAACATTTTATTTAATCCTTGCAATATGAATGTATACCTTCTCTCATTCACTACAATATAAGGACACTATATGTCATAGTGAACTTGACTGTTAAACAATTTTTTCAATTTTTCGCCATTCAAAATTATTTCATTTTGTGCTTGATGTTGTTACGGTCTCACTTTCGATTTTGTAGACATAACTATCCAAGAGAAAGACTCTGTGATGTGCATGTCTCAATTGCATATGACACGGCTTTACTTGATCTTATTACAGAATAATTGCCAGCTATAATTGCAAGGTCCAGGTGAAAATATAACGGTTTATGAGCTTTATTCCAGCCATATTCTCAAGTTTAAATAAAAAGAAGAAAATCACATAATCCTTCGATTTTTAAATTGAAAATTGTGACTGGCTTATGTGAAAAAAGACGCAAGAAAAAGATAAACACGTAGCGTCCGTCTATTATCAGTATAGCGGCGGACCGGATAAAAGATCATCACTAGAATGGTCGGATTTCCCGTGCCACGTGAAAAGCACTTACCAGTTTTATCCATTATATTATTTTGCCGTTAAAAAAGTCCTTTCACCTCAAATTCAATTTACATAACTACATAATTATGTAAGTATGTTTGGGGACAAACACTTATCAATCACATTTCATCATTTCAAAATAACGCATCTATTTGTAATTATCAAACGCGGGGCAATGCAAATAAACATTTAATCGCTAATAAAACATTGCTCTTTGTGACATATTAGTTATAATACATACAAATACTTAACGTTTAACATATTATTTATTGTGATGCGGCACCCTAAATTACAAATATAGGGCAATTGAATGAATTGAATATAATTGCGCATGCCGTTAAGTGAATATGATTGGATATTTTTAATCAGTTTTATTCCATCCTTGCATTTTCTGCGACTGAAAAGTCTTGCCTAGAATCAATCTTTTCTCGTATACCACAGATAAGTGGTCTCGTACATAGACCACAAATAGACAATCGCAATTCGCTCTGGTTATAATCTTTGTTTGTTGTTGGTCTTCTACAACTTCTGCAAACGTTGCCCATGCCTGATGTCTATTGCGAAGCATAATAGCCGAGATCAGATTGGGCTAGAACTACTTAAATGTAGAATCTAACCTTAATTGATATACAGATATATACAAAACTTTATTATAACAAAAGCATGTTCTAAACCAAGCGTAATTATTTGTGCTATTTATCAGTGGTTCTACCCGAAACTTATATACAATTCATAAATTGCATGTAAATTTAGTCAGAAGTCATAATATATTGCATGCATTTCCGCACAATTGACTATATTCTAAAATGATCGGCGTTCATCTTAATTATAAAATGTGCAAATCGTAACGGAATTTTGCTGAATTAAGATTTATCGGTCTATTAATTATAACTTATAAAAAATAAACCGTCTCTTTATTGAGAGACATGGGAAACAACTATAGTATTATTGTTTCAAGTAAAACAGAATTGGTTATTTCCCTTGTGTATTTTTTGTCTAATTAAATAGGGCAGGACAAGGCAAGGATAGGGCATCACTGTTAGCTGCAATTAATAATGTTATTATTATTATTATTATTATTATTATTATTATATACCAAACACTTTTTTCATGCACATTGACACGTTCAAAAGTACTGTACAATATAGCCAAATAAATGATACAATATTTAAAAGAAACAAAAAATTAAAACATCAATATTGCTGAAGTCACAAATTCAAATCAAATGTAGTTTAAAAAAAGTTAAAAAGACCCACATAAATAATAAAATTCAGGTAAGAACCTAAAAAATAATCAGTCCAAATAAAACCTCTTAAATAAGTGAATTTTAAGTGCTCTCTTAAACACTGTAAGAGTTTCGTTTCACAAATTTTAAGTGGTCTAGATAGGGCATTCCAGAGTTTAGGGGCTGTCGTCATAAAAGCACGATCACCATAAGTCACAGTCCTACTACGCGGTACAACAAGTGCTAAGCAATCATTCTGGGACCTAAGTTGTCTGGATGGGGTAGAAAAATGTCTAGCATGTTTCGTATGTACGTAGGTGCCTGTCCATGAAGCGCCTTAAACACATATGTAAGGAGTTTGTACTCGACTCTGATGTGCACAGGAAGCCAATGTAGTTCCTTAAAAGCTGGGGTTATGTGGCAGTGTATAATCCTTTATTCCCATAACCTCAACCTCGCCCTTTAATTTCCTACATGTAAGCGCATAACGCCACTATATAGTTCTACCTTAAGCAAAATTCGATTCCATCTAGATATCAGATAATAATTAGGCCTAAATGGCAACTTTATCGGAATTTTTTTCACAAGAATAGTTGATATGATAGTACGATTGTATATTTCACGCTGAGATACTCCTAGCAACAATGCGTACAATATGCCTTTACTTTATAGATATGCATGTACATGTATTATAATATTAATAGTAGCTCTAATAAGTAAGTAAGTAAATTCTTTATTATAGTGACATGAGTATGCAAATCAGCAATTAGCAAATAAGCAATTCAGCAGTTGGCAAATAAGCAAATTGACATGTCCCTACCGGCATTCCATAGTTTAGGTGACATGTATATACATACACAAAAATATACAAAGATGAACACCCGGCCCATAGGACCTATAAGTCACCTAAACAGAAGATTATAATCTGAGCATGTATGATATTTTTAACATGTTATTAACATTATATATATAGGAAATTCATATGGATACATATGCTTGTACAATCAATTTGATTACTTTATTTTGGTGGGTGTTTACGGGGTAAACTAGATTTTTATTATCCGACATTATGTTAAACACATTGTTTGAAATAACGTACATTTCCAAAAACAACAGTTCTTATAACATTGTAAATACTATCCTCAATTAGATTTGTTTGGCATAAAGTACATAGTCTTTGATTAGGCTATTCTCCTCTACTGTATACATTTATATATAAATAATTTATAAAATGATTGTACAAAAACACACGTGAATAACTGTAGGCTAAACCATAGGCACTCGATCGGTTCCGCAACTTTCTATGATTTTTAATTTCTTTAAAAAATCTTATAGCTTGTATATACAAAATAATTATTTGTTTTTATTCAAGGATTTTATTTTTTTTTATTCTGGACTTTGAGCTGTAACTAACCTTTCATTCCACTGTGATTTTTTTTTCATTCGCAACTTTTCGGCCTTTTCCGTCAAACTTCGGGAGTTCGATTATTCTGAATGTATAAATAAGAATGAAAAAAAAAATTATTAAGTGTAATGTAAGAACTATAATCATTTCGCAGTACTCTGAAATTTTATGACCCCTTACAATATATGCAGACAATAATTAATTATTTATATACGCAAACGTTCGTTGAACTTTGTTGAATTCAGATTCGTTTCGTGTTTAAGTAATAACCTTTCCGTTTTTAATAATATTATGTGACCTGGAGGAACATCCGGGTACTTTGCCAAAGCGGAAAAACACGCCAAGGAACAAAAACACCACTAAATTACCGAATTTAGACCCCTTTTTGTTGAGGTAATAAATGAAATATGATGAAATAACTTGTATTTTTGTTAGTTTATTTGACTAGCCTAACTTTGATGTTGATCTCTTTGTATTTTTAGCCTATTTTGTTTTCCCGCGTAGCGAGGCATAAGCCCCCTCCTCGAAGGGCCCTTTTCTTATTTCTCGTGACCATATTGAATCAAAGCATATTACCGCAGCCCTGTTTGATATTCTTACAAAGCTTTAATGGTTTACTAAAATGTAGTTACTCCAAGGTGAAAATTGCCTTCCTTTCCATTCTTTTTGTTTGTTGTTGCTCGTTTTGTTAATGGGAGACCCCCTTGACAGGGACCATACAGCTTTTAAACAGTATTAAACTAGTCTTAAAAGAATGCGATTATTAGTTTTAAGTCTAATTTTTAAATTTTTCTTCTGTATGAAGTAAAACTGATACTGTTGTAAAGAAAATACAGACCTTATATTGGATAATTTATAGACTTCCTCTCTAAAGTAGGCCTACCCCAGAACATTTCCTTCCCCTGCCGAGGAGATGTCAACCTTCCATGGATTTATTTCTTTTTTTAAAGAACTATTATAGAAAACAAAGAGTAGAACGCTGTTGATTGGTTTGGGAGCTGATTGTGGGGTGTAAATTTTTGGGGTGAAACATCAGCTATATGTTGGAATAGACCCTGGGGTCTTAGTCCAACTAATTAGACTTGTCAGAGACATCAAGATATTTTTTGACGGCCGATGTCTTTTTCCAAAAGACATTTTGTAACGGTTTGATGGTATGAAAAAAAAAGTATGTAAAATGGGTCAAACTATTCTCTCCAAATTAATTAGGCTACTGGGGCCTAAAACAGAAGTATAGGTTCATTCCATTTAATTTATTATAATTTATGTACAAGTTTTATTCCTCACATATACAGAGGGGTCAAAACCAAGGAGATTGCTGAAATATCTGTTTACTGCCTGGCGTTGTCTTGCATTTGTTTTCCATTAATTAGCATCAAGCCAATCTCCTGAAATAGACCCTAGATGTCTATATTTTACTCAATAATTTACTACAAATATGGAATGAGCCAACTATATATTCTCCTGGTTTAAACTCTGGGGTGAACCCCTTTTTGGGACCTAGAAATAGCACTTCAATTCTCATAGGATGAATTTGTAACAAGAATAAAGTGGTTTGAACTTTAAACAAGCTGAAAGAGAATCTTGCTTCCAGTGTGATCTTCACCATAAGTATTTTTAATCATCTTACCCTTAAAATTCTATTCTAGGAGTAGGTTGTGTGATTGTGGACAATGTTTTTTTTAATTTTAATTAATAATTGGCTGATATGTTCATCAGCTGAATAACATCAATTGGTTGTATACTAAGCTGTAAATGTTTTCTTACACATATAATCAATCATTTTTATGTATATACAGTGTTTTTTTCACCAAAATATTCGACGAAATTCGGCCCCATTCCCCCCTCAAAATAGTATGTTTTTTTTTTCCCCCTCAAAGCCGAAATTTCCCTCTCATATGGCAGCCCAAATTTGCCTACAATGAATACTCTTTTTTTTTTGCATATTACTGCCGAAAAATGTTTTATTTTATGCCTGTAAGACTGTTAAGCAAAGTTGTTTACAAATTGTTCCCGGGTAGTAAGGGGAGCTACTCCTGGCTTCCCAACAATTATTTCAATACTGGTAATTTAGATCAGTATATTAAGAAAAAGCGACGTATTTTAAACTTGTCTTGCAAGAGTTGCTCCCCTTTTCTACTCACTGGAAAGAAAACAAATGTCAAACAAAAGTAAATCTTACAGTGGTAAGTGGTGTATTAAAATATGCATTGGATCTTTTTTGTTTCTCCTCATTTGTGAAGAAATAAAATTCACCCTCCTATTGCATTTTTATACGCCCGTTTGAAAAACGGGACATATTATGGGAACGCCCCTGGCGGTCGGACGGGCGGCGTCCAATTTTGTCCGGAGCATATCTCCTACATGTATGGAGGGATTTTAATGAAACTTCATAGAAATGTTCACCACTATGAGGAGCAGTGTCGCGCACATGAACCAGGTCTCTAGGTCAAAGGTCAAGGTCACTTAGAGCTCATTGAAAACTGCTTGTCCGGAGCAAAACTTCCACTTGTATAGAGGGATTTTAATATTACTTGGCACAAATGTTCACCATTGTGAGGCGGAGTGT